CTTTAACATGTAAGTTATGCAAATATTCAAAGTCAATGAACCATGATTGTAGGTACAGGGCTAAACAATCTCCATGGAAATGAGATGTGCTAATGTTTATACAACTGCAAACCAAATATCATTGACTTTTCGTAAGTCGTTCCCTTAAAACAAACCTAAACACAAACATTAACTTGTAAACTATGTAAAAGTTTCAAAGTCAATGAACCATAATTAGGAGGTGGGGTTATATAATCTCCATGGAAATGAAACTTGCAAATGCCAATACATTTGCATACCAAATATCATTGACTTTACATTAGTGGTTCATCTTAAACTGACCTAATCACAAACTAATACATGAAAACTAAGCTAAAGTTTCAAAGTCAATGGACCATGAATGAGGGGGCGGGCCAAATAATCTCCATGGAAATAAGATATGCCAATGCTTATACAACTGCATACCAAATATCATTGACTTATCGCTAGTGGTTCCCCATACACTGACCTAATCACAAACTAGTACATGTAAACTAAGCAAAGTTTCAAAGTCAATAGACCTTGACTGAGGGGGCAGGGCCAAATAATCTCCATGGTAATGAGATGTGCCAATGCTAATACAGACGCTTTTCCTGTACGCGTATTTTTCGTGTAATTCAACTACACGGCCAGGTGGATTTCTATATTCTAGCTGTGTTGTATTCTATCAACTGTTATACTACTTTTCAATCATATATTGCTACGTGTAATATAGTGACAACATTGTAAAAGACAAAGAAGTTAATGTTGTAAAAAGGATCGATTAGGGATAGGTGCACAAGTACACAAATTCTGTTCTCAAGTTTTAAAAACGATTTCAAGGTTAAAAAAAAGTTCTTGCTTGAATTGTGTGCATTTATGCAACTGGATTAATCACATCAATACTGTAAGTAAATTAGAAAAAACTGTAACTCTAAACAACCTCTTAGATTAAGAAATTATTCTCCTTAAACAACAAATATAGGAACAAATGTTACATGTCATGAAGTAGAAATCATGTTTCAGTGACTTCACAAAACGACATCACATCGAAAAAATGTGATCAACGATAGGAAAAGATGAAAAATCAATATAAAGAAACTTACAAAAAAGTACAAATAACTTCAATAGGAATATCATTTATCATTCGAAACATATTAATTACTGTTGACCACCTATTACGTCTTCGTCGAATACGCTTCCAACTCCCAAGTACAACTTGAAGAGAAATACAACATTTAGATAATAAAGGCTTGCAGCTACGCGGGTATGTCATCTACTTTCTATCATTTACACCCAGGAATTAAAACAAAACGATACGTCTAAAGATCAAAAAAGTGTTCGAACATGATAATGCATATCCAAGTTAATGGTGAACAGGTTTTTATTTTTATTACTGCCTCCTCCATTTGAAAAATATCATTGAGCAAATTATGGAAATATTTTTGAATAAAGGAATTCACCTCCCTCATGTAAAGCTCTGATTCCTTGCCTAGCTTTGGCTATACTTTTTTTTACCTTTTTGGCTTATAGCTCTTCATGTTTTAATAAGCATTTGATTTTCAAATATTTAGGCCTCAAGCATTACTGAAGAAACATTGATTGTCGAAATGCGCATCTGGTGCAAATAAAATGATACCATTAATGTTATTACTACCACTGGGTTGATGCCTCGGCTGGTGGACTGATAATCCCTGAAGGTATCACTAGCCCAGTAGCCAGTACTTCGGCACTGGCAGAAAAATATGGATTTTGTGTTATAAAAATTTGCTGTTACAAAATTTTGGAAATATTTTAAAATAAGAAATGCACTTCCCTTATGCTTTTTTTGTTCTTTTATTTGGTTTATAACTCTCCATGTTTTTAATAAGATTTTGATTTTAAAATATTTAGGCCTAAAGCATTACTGAAGAGACATTGATAGTCGAAATGCGCGCCTGGTGCAGAAAAATTGGTGCAACCCTTTTGCAGAGAATTTAACCATTTTTTTGTACAAACTATACATGTAGTAAATTGGAGAAATTATTCACAACATTTTATATTATTGTGAAATTTCTTTTTTGTATTCCTGTCTTTCTATTTTGCTTATGTTCTCTGTCTATTGAATGTCTTTATACTCTTTTGGTTTTCTTTGTTGAAATAGATATTTGTTTTACCGTATTTAAGGTTATAGCACAATGTTGACTGCTGTACCCCGATTTTTGACATTTGAACCAATTATGTCTTATTGTTTTGTTTTACTCGCACAATGTTGTCAATATCTAATTATATGCGACTGTCGTACATGTTAGAAGTTTATCTAGCTTTATGACCAGGTTTAATCTATCATTTTCTACATAAGGAAATACCTGTACCATGTCTGAAATATGACAGTTCCATTCGTCTGATGTGTTTGGGCTTTTCTTTTTTTGTAATTTTACTTTATATTAATATTAGATCTATAAACAAGTCGAATAACCAAACTGGACTGGTTTCGAAGATAACTTATAATAACAGCGGACCTGCATCCAAGTTAACATTGTCGGCAGTCGTAAAACAGTCATAGGACCAAGTCCCCTTTTAAAGTTAACTTGATTGTGATCCAAGGACTGGTTTGAGCAGCCCTAAATCCGGTAACAGGTTAACTTTGACCAGTCAAAATGACTGGTAAGCAAGTTAACCTGCTGTACAGGTTAGGACTGCATCAATCTGAAGCGTAACACTTTCATTTTACGATACAAGATCCCCTGTTGTGACCAAACGTGACATCCACTACAGTCATACTGAAGCTCGCAAAGTTTCCTAGTCATAAAAACAGGAACACAGGATAAATGCAGTCTTTTTTTTTTACTTTTGATATAGTCATACCTTAAGAGAAAAAAAAACAATTTAAGCATATATAGAAATATGTTTCACAGTCATCAAATTCTCTAAATTGAAAATCACTATTCAAGTATAATTCATAAAATATAGAAATGTATGAGAAAATATAAAAGCTAATATAAAGAAAAGGCATTACAATATTTTCAAATTTATTAGTTTTTTTTTTACCATATATCATAATATTGACTGTGCGTTATAATATTTCCAATGTGACTTGTAATTGATATCATTAATATGGTCATTATTATAAATAAACTGTTTACAGAACTTTGAATTTTTGAAATACTAAGGCTTTTCTTCCTCAGGAATATATTACCTTAGCTCTATTTGGCAAAACTTATAGGAATTTGTGGTCCTAAATGCTCCTCAACTTCGTACTTTAATTGGCCCTTTTAACTTTTTTTTATTCGAGCGTCACTGATGAATCTTTTGCAGACGACACGCGCGTCTAGCGCAAATACACAATTTCAATCCTGGTATCTATGATGAGTTTATTTACAACCACTGGGTCGATGGCACTGCTGGTGAAGTTTTTATACCCCGAGGGTATCACCAGCCCAGTATTTAGCACTTCTGTGTTGGCATGAATTATCATTGTTATGGTCATTATTATAAATTAACTGTTAACAAAACTTTGATTTTTTGAAAAACTAAGGCTTTACTACCTAAGGAATAGATTACTTTAGCTGTATTTGCAAAACTTATAGGAATTTGTGGTCCTAAATGCTCCTCAACTTCGTACTTTATTTGTCCCTTTTTAAGTCTTTTTTCATTCGAGCGTACCTGATGAGACGTTTGCAGACGAAACGCGCGTCTGGCACAAATACAAAATTTCAATTCTGGTATCTATGATGAGTTTATCTTATATATACTTGACCAATCAATATTAATGTAGCTGGCTAACGGGCAAGTATGGGCTTTGGCGTCCATCGTGCGCTTATGTTTTTTGGTAGACCCTCGTCTCTTGACTAAAAAAAACAATTGTTTTCCACACTCATCGTAATAGTATTTAAAGCAAAAATGAGCAGTAATACAAGATACTAGTATATCAGCAAAGTCACATACCGGTCGAAATCTTGATATACCGTAGATTCTATTTTGGTTTTATAAGCCATTAAAAGTTAGTATTAGGTTTAGGATTTTCAACAAATTGGCCTCAAGCATCATTTTAAGAGATATTAATAGTCAAAATGTGTGTATGGTGCAGTTGAATATGAACCGTTTATGAATTTGACTCCTTCCATTAGTGTTTTACAAGTACATGGAACGACATATAAATAATCCCCATCCTGGCTAGACGTGGAGTATGTATAAATCCCTAATAGCCAAATGGGGGTCCATGGCAACTTTATCAAGAGTTTTATTTTGCACGGTATGATTCCCGGAACTACAATCACAAAATTTCCCAGTCAACCCTGGAGTTTTTATCCTCGACCGGGTATTGTGGCATAACACGCAAAGAAACAAGTGTTGTTAATGGTTGAATTTATCTTATCAAAGGTTTTACTGATGTCATGATCGTGCAATAAATGTTGATATGTTGAATATTATGTTATTAGCATCTCAGACTTATTTGTTCCAGTAATTGAAACTTCTGCAGTGCGTCAACCTTTTCTCGTGTATTTCTTATAATGTTTAGTGTTCTGCCAAGACGGGTACCAATGGCAGAACAAGCACTGTTTACTTTTAGCAGCTTCAATTCAAACAGTTTGTTTGTAAGAGTTGAGCGTATCGGTGAACTTGTCTTTTTGTTTGCCATATACACAGGAAATACCGAAAATCAAATTCTCTACACGTCTACCATACAGAAAAATGTTTACAATATAATTTCAAAATCATATTATAAATAACTGCTTATAATTCTGCTCTATTATCTGTTACTCATAGAAGAGAGAACGTGGAACAAAAATTCAATTCTAGATGAACGTTACCCGATTGTGTTTTACAAACCATGGAATAGACACTTAATCAAACATTTTATGGAAATAAGCCATTTGTAAACCTCATTTATGTATCGATAGGGTTTTCAAACTAGATTGATGAAACATTGCTTAAATGTGTGTAATTCTAAATACTATTAATAATAGATAAGATAGTGTTTTGCTCTGAAATGTCTTTAATTGAAGATTATATATCATCTGCGTTGTCTCTGTGTATCTCTCTAATTCAAAGGGTATCCTTCTATGCCAGTTTGCCTTTTAATCCAAGAAGCGTAAAGAGGAATGTTGGTATATGCTGTGGACCTGTTTCCATTACAGGTAGCATACTGCCATGCAAAAATACCACTCAGAACAGAAGTGCCATCTGTTGTTTTACATGTCAAAGGTCCACCATTGTCACTCTAAATACAAAATTGTGTATAGTAAACCAATGCAGCAGTATCGTTTTACCTGTATTTGTATATCCATGTGTATGATGTATAACAAATCAATGAAATCAAATATAAATAGCAACATGAGCAATAACTTTTCTATTCTATATTTTGATATTTCAGAACTCTTTTGGAGCACCTTTAGTGTCAGAGGCATACCCTTGTAAAAGTCCGTATATTGTGACGTAAACCAAATCAGGATGGCGTACATACAATGTTTTAAGGCGTCTATTTAATTTTATCTTAAGAAACAGTTTTTCAATAGCTTCCTTCTATATTGCAGACTCCACTCTTCTTCCACATTCGCTTGCTGAAAGTTACTATATAGATACTTAAAGGTTCACAACTGGAAGGCTGTAAAAATAATTAACCGCTAGCTTTACTGCTCCTTTAAGGGTTTCAAGACGGTTTACTCATTTGGCGATTTAAAATTGTTTAAATATGCCCAATTTCCTATTAATAAATTGCTGGTATAAGAATTTCTATAATTATCAATATACTATAGAACATTAGATATACATATACTTACAAAGCAGGGTTGTATTTTTCGATTTTCGTCAATGACACATATCTGAGTATCTACAAATTTAGTTGGTGTATTAAGCTGCCTACATTCCTCTGTGGTCAGAATTGTAATGTCCTTTGCAAATTGGAGGTTCTCTGGTTCTGTTCCTGTGGAATAAATTATCATACAACTACTCATGTTATGCAATTCATTTACTTAAAAATGTAAAAACAAAAAGGAAGCTTAATTATCTGTAAATTAAGGTTTAACCCCCTTTTTCTTGTACCGATGGTTCATATATCTGTGTGTTTTGTTATATCAGTTTTAATCAACTTCCTTTTTGCATTATCTGAAGTTCTGTGTTAACGTGTATGCATGTGTTTAAGTGTACCTGATGACGAATAATGTATAAAAATGCTCCAGGCGCATCATATTTAAAAAATTAGAGTTCTTTTAATAGTGTTAGTTTAGTTTTAGTTTTATTTGGTTTCAGTGGTTGTCGTTTATTGATGTGGTTCATAAGTGTTTTTCGTGTATCTTTTTTTTTATCTTACCATCACTATCAATTTCTCCCCATCCTGCTATTTGACACATGTCTAGATTCACAGAATCTGAGCTTGTTGAATAAGGTATACTTTTGCATGTCGGTCCAAACGTGAGAGGTGTATGCAGTTCAATAACAGCTATGTCATTTTCCCATAATGCATCATCGTTTTTATCTTTGAATTTTCTATCGAAATGTGGATGCTAGAAATATAAACAATGAAACATCATTTATTTATATGACTTTAAAAGTAAATAAAGTATTATAAACTCATCATAGATGCCAAGATTAAAATTTGTATTTGCGTCAGACTCACGTTTCGTCTACAAAAGACTCATCAGTGATGCTCGAATAAAAAAATGTTAAAAAGGCCAAACAAATAAAGTACGAAGTTGAAGAGCATTAAGGACCAAATATTCCTAAAGGTTTTGCCAAATACAGCTAAGGTAGTCTGTTTCTGAGGAAGAAAAGCCTTAGTATTTCAAACATTCAAAGTTTTGTAAACAGTTAATTGATATTAGTTAAATTATATCACTCGTTGGTTGCCCTTTTAAATTGTAAACAGTTAATTTATAAACAGTTAAATTATATCACTCGTTGATTGCCCTTTATAATTGTTAAAAAGGTAATAAATTAAAAAAAAACAGATTGATCAAACGGTTTATTTATATTTAAAATTATGTTAATACGATATTTAGATATGAGAAGATGTGGTATGAATGCCAATGAGACAACTCTCCATCCAAGTCACAATAAGTGACTTATAGAATCAATTTAAAATTCTAGATTAATTTTAATTTCACTTACAGTTTATCTTTAATCACGTAAGTGTGATTTATTTGAATTGATGGACGGGGAACATTTTCAAATATCTCACAAGAATACTAAAATTAGACCTATACATAAATCAGTGAAAAAACAACATTACATATCATAATAAACTAGTAAATGCATAACAAGATTACACGTATTATCGCTAAGCCAACTCCACTCGAAAATCACTGCCAAACTGTTGACCTTTTTTTTTTCCAACAACCTAGACAAAGTGTGACGCGACTTTTTATTGGACGAAATAAAAGCAGAATTCAATATACCCTCCAATTCCAGAGTTTGGATATACAATTAAAAACAAATATTGATATCAAGATTGGCAATCGTCATAATATTTTTCCTATGCTTCGCCTCTGTTCATTTTAATAATGCAAAGCAAATGTAAAATGTAAATCAAAGATATTTAGAATCAAGTTTTGACTAAAAAGATAGATCTAATTGAAGTAAAAACGTCAAAATGTGATATTTTGTTAAAAGTGCTTGACGATAGTTAGTTTACATATAAATATATTCTTTTATTCTCGTGCATTTGTTTACTGCCTCTTGTAGATTGAACCATGTCTTTTAATGGTTTGAGTAACAGAAAGGACATAGAACGTATGTTTTTTTATCACTTTGTGATCATGTTTAAAACACTTTGTGATCATGTTTTATTTGGTTGTAAGTAAAAAACGTAAACATTGAAGGCTGAGTAAGTTTTTTACACAAATGAACATGTACCAGATTGTTTGGAATTTTTGTTCAATATAATATTTTAGTCTATGTCTTTCTTTTGTCATGAACATGATGAAGAACACATAATTATAGGGACATATAAAAACAGTTTCAGATTCTTACCTTTTTCTTGTGTTTAATCGTTCTTATTTGTTTATTAGGATCTGATATGTCAGAAAAACCAGCTAGAACCCGCCTGTTGATAAGCCTGAAAGTATATCACTTTAATAGCACTACTTCGACTTCACTTAGTTAGATTCAATTGATTGAATAGACCTCATGCTATACAATCTTGTTGCATTTAAAAAGTCATTTAAGTTCACAAGTAGCTTTCAAAGCTTATAAGAGACTATACGAGGTTAATATTTAAGCAACAACTCTGTATAGATTACACAGACTTCTAATCTGCCTCCCCCCCCCCCCCCCCCCGCCACCCGCCCCCCCCTCTCATTCACATAGACTTTTCGACCACGATCTATCATAAATAATGATTAATCAAATACTAAATTGTCCAGTAAATTTGGCACCGTTGATATTGCTGCTTGAAAATGTGTTCACTTAAACTAGCATGAATGACGGGTAGACAATTTAGATTGCCAATGACGAAGAAAACCATGTTATTCCTGCATAAGCAAACGCCCCTCGTCTGGTTGGTTTTGTCTCCAAAACAAGGGTAGTTGATTTTAATTGAGCCAATTTCGAACCTTAAGTCTACTGATAAGTTCAGATGTTTATGGAAGTGTCATGCTGGCTCATTTTTTGGTCGTTTGCTGATCCTTTTCTTTAATTGACATATTCAATGAATAAGGAAGATGTGGTGTGATTGCCAATGAAATAACACTTCACAAGAGACCAATTGACACACAGATTAACAAGAATAGGTCTACACACGTCCTTCAATAATGAGCAAAGCTCATACTGCATATTCAGCTATGTGTCTTTCTGTTGATTTGGCATCTCTATGTACTATAGTATTCTTTTTTTAGGGGGGGGGGGGGGTTACAGCCCATAATTATTGGTTAAAATCATCATACAAGAGCGATATAATCCTAAAAGAAGTCAACTGAACTGAACTTTGCTATTATTTGTATAAAATTGAGAATAGAAATGGGGAATATGTCAAAGAGACAACAACCCGACCAAAGAGCAGACAACATGTTTGTATGTTTGGAAATAAAAAGCACACAAACTGAAACAAATCATCCATAAATGGTAAGCCCTTTTTTGCAAAATGTAAACTGACAATTTTGGCTTTGTTAATATTATTTTACCTGGCTGCTGATTTTCCGAATTCTTTAATTTATCTCTATCTAACGTTAATATACACTTAATGAAGGAAAAGAATTATTCGTTGGCAATAAATCGTACACGGAGTCGACTTATAAGTGCATGTTGTTCTGTTAATAATGTTTGCTGCAGTTCGTAAACATGTTAAAGGTCTTTTTTTAGATTTGGAATTTAAAATATTATGGCCTAACATAAAAAAAATTTCACCTGAAATTGCCGAATCCTGAAAAGGGGCCTCAAACTTGGTACCGTTATTGTTACAACGGTTTCTTGTTATTTACTGCATGTAGTTTCCTCGAGAAATAAACCACAAAACATCGATGACAATCATCATTCATGGGCACTATTTCCTTAAAAGGTCTATTATCAATTATGTTCAATTTTACATATTCGTAGATCTTGTCAATGACATTATACAATGTATATCCAAGTTCCTCACGTACACGCTAGGTATCATCAATGATTATCATAATATAATTTTATAAGTTGTTACATGTCTACAGGTAAATGATGGTATAAAGCATGTATACATGTGTTGCCCATCTCTTGCTTATCTCTTGCAATTTTCTACCAATCTTAATAATTATGTTCCTATATACCTTAGTTCCTTACTTAGACGCTAGTTATCATCAATGCAATTTTCTATGTATCTCATAGACTTCTCTACTATTAATAATTATCAAAGGTACTAGGCTTAAAATTTGATACGCCAGACGCGCGTTTCGTCTACATAAGTCTCATCAGTGACGCTCAGATCAAAATAGTTAGAAAGCCAAACAAGTATAAAGTTGAAGAGCATTGAGAACCCACAATTCCAAAAAGTTGTGCCAAATACGGCTAGGGTAAACTATGCCTGGGATACGAAATCCTTAGTATTTCGAATAATTCATACTTTTGAAAACAGTAAATAAAAAAAAAGACCATATAATTGATATTAAATTGCGTCTTTCTTTTATTTTGATATATGCTGTTAGACTTTTGTATCTGCATTGTGGAATATCAAATTAGTTTTGTCCATTTTTACAATTTTAAACATACGGATCTTCCAGACAACGTGCTATAGTTAAAAGCCTCATTTCAGAGAGAATTACTGCAGTACACCAATCTTCCCAGGGTTCACCTTTTCTGTCACGAGCTTCATTTCTTGCCAGGTACGGGAAATTTTCTATGGCAGCATCCTCTCCTCCAGCTATACCGACAACAATCTAGATAATAAAAAGGAACAATGTTGTACCATGTATCTTATGTTCACAATCAAAACATGATCGAAAAAATACTTACTTTACTTGTTTAAAATATTATTGATACGACTTACCAATTAAGGATGTTCGCTCCTCTTGATTTTGAATTTTTGCCAGATATTCGGAATCCTCTGGTTTTATCCATGTAGAGCCATTAAAAATTTGCCCACTAACCCTTACTTTTCTTTCCATTATTTGATTACATATAGTTTAAAATGTCATCTTTGAAAATCTTATAAAGTCCTTGTTGATTTTTCATCGTTTTTGAAAGAAAAAAGGTGTCAATGTTAAATGTATGAAAAATCTAGAGAGAAGTATTTCCCGCCAAATTTTCAATGGCTTATATCTCGAAAACAAGCACACGGACGCTTCATTTTTTTTCTGTTTTTTTTAGTTCCTTTATTTATATACTATCAATTTATAACAGTCTTTTAAAAAGCTTATTACTTTGAAACAGAGTAGCGAACATCCTTAATCATACTCCACCACTTAAAAGTAAGCTGTCGAAAAAATATCATGTGCATTACTATAAAGGAGAACTAATTGAAGT